GGTGGTGGCAGTGGGGGAGGTTGGGCCAGTGGTGGTGGCAGTGGGGGAGGTTGGGCCAGTGGTGGTGGCAGTGGGGGGGGTTGGGCCAGTGGTGGTGGCAGTGGAGGTGGAGGCGGGTGGGCTAGCGGAGATAAGGGAGGTTACTGATGGACGCCGAGTTTTCGGACAGCTATGTAAAGTGGGATTGACGGAGGGTCGTGTATCGTGCAGACCTTGACATTTTTCAAGAATCACAGCAGGTGGTGTGCAGATTGCTCTATCGTGGTCTGCAGCGGATCGCAGTGCGACAGGTGGCCCCAAGTTCGTGGAGATGGAAATCGCTGATTGCGTCGGTCTCTAGATTTCGTACAAATGGAGTCGTGGTTCGCACATATGCATACCTAATGAACTGAAAACACGTATTTTTGCACTACGGTCGGGTAGACTTTAGTGGATAATATCCGCGTTCGCCATAAGCGGTTATATGATGGCAAGGGTGGCGAGGCCAGCCGCTAGCCGAGACGCGCGATGAAGAGAACGACAGACTCTGAAGTATCCATACAAGGACTTCACGATACTGGGGGACTTCCCCACCATAGCAAGTCATCTGCGTTCTTCGAACGATTTTCTGTCGGTTCTCGGCGTTTGTTACGATTACCTTCCACCACTTCACCTAGGTTTGAGCAACCTTGGCTGAACATATGTCCTCTGCGGGGAATCCGACAAGGAACATATCGGTTGTCGTGTGGGGCGGGGTACAACTCCTTAAACTTGTTTTATTTTGACGTTTCTGTGGCCTCAGGACAATGCCTGCCAAGCTCTCTAAAAAGGTGGTCAGTACCTCCTACTGCTGTCGGGGATGCAGAGGGTGTGTTTGTCGCCCTCCATGTACAGCAGTACTCTCGAACCTGCGCGTCCACGAAGAGAGACCAGCTTAGCCATCCCGATAGCCTGGAAGCTGGAAACCCCAAGTCGCCTTCTTCTCGTTGTATCCTGCTCTCTCGAGATGCGCCCCCTCAACTACTATCTACCGCATTACTTAGCCTTGCTCCCCGAACCGGTTCTATGCCGTCGTAATTGGCCGCGCCATAAACACGCTTGACTTGCACTCAAAACTTTCGTGTGTTGAATGCCGAAGCTCAGTCCAGTCTCTCAGACGAATACATACGTAGTCCCCATTCGGATACCCCAGCCCCTTGCCCGACCAGATCTCAAGCTGCATAGAGCAGTGCAAGTCAATTGGTGGCTCGAGTAAACTCGGTAGGGGATCGAAAAATCAGGGCCGCTCGACTACCCGTGCATGCTGACGTACAGGCATGTTCTGTTTCTGAAAGTCAGCCTTCGGCTCGCGTACTACGTCCATCATCATCACCGTGGTAGTCGTCGCTCCCAATAAAACAAAATACCATACTCGCTCACTTACAGTATGCACTCTCGTCGATTTTCTCTTGGCACGAGCAAGCGCGATGCCGCGGGGAGTTCCGAGCAGAGAACGCGGTGCCACGTCGTTGGTTTTCGACTAGCCACGGTTTTCTGGTACATGCCACGTCCTGCTTTGTTTGGCATCGAGTATGTTTCCTCAAATCTGCGAGACAGTGAGGCCATGGACGGGCGAGAGTGGCGGGTCGTGGCACCAACGTGTTCCGAAGAAGCAAGCGCGGGAGCGGCTTACTATCCGATAGGGCCAATATCTACATACTGCAAGGCCCACGGCAAGACCAATAATGTCAATAAACCAAACATCAAAACCAAAGGTAACTGACTGACTGGCTACCAAAGAAATAAAATGTCATCACTCATTATTACACGTTCGCATGCAATACTTCGTCAGGACTAGTGACGAAAAGTAACGGCCACCTGAGGACTTCGTAAGGGATCCATCTGGTGAATAAGGCCGTGTACGGGCGTCCTCACTCTCCCCACGATTGAATCACGCTGAAGTGGTCAGAAACACATACATGCACCGGCACGCGATTGCAGACAACGCACACCCGTTACGTTTATCGGCGATCTGTCAGGTCCGTGGCTTCCCACGCGACACTACTGTACCGCAAGGGGGGACCGACTTGAACTGTTGTCAAAGAAGTCCATGTTCGATCCTCACTTAGGTGAGTTTTTTTACGTTGTTTTTTTCACGTGGCGGGCTACGCTGTTGTCATGTGCTGTGCAGGATGGGCTCGTCGTTGCCAGTTCACTGTGGAGGTCCAGGCGACCGGCTGTAATTTCTGCCCTCTTGATTATTTCGCTGATTCTTACTGCTGCCTTTCAGCCACGGAATATTGAATACTCCCGCCCCTCCTCGCGCAGGAACACACAAGGGCGCGCGGATGATAGCCAATTGGCTGCCTTCGGAAAACACTGAGCTTGACGTGGTTTGTTGGGTGGGTGAAGTGGTGCATCGATCATCGATTGGCTTTCTGGTGAGCGAGCCCGTCGGTGCCGCGCGTTCCTCTGATAAAAGGAGCAAGTCCGTTTCGAGCAAAAAAAACACTACCCGACGAAAACGAACAAAACACACCAAGCGTACGTGGGACAGAACAAAGAGGGACAAAAGAAAGCTTCCGTCGGTGACAGATAGAAGGATGCTTCTTCGCCAGAAACCAAAACGGCGTGTATCTATCCCCTCCCTGCCCGACTCGTGATTAACTGGCAATTCTTCCGACGCTTCATAGAAAAACCCTTAACACCGCGTGTGAACCTTGGTGTGTGGTACCCTCCCCGGTAAGTAGGGTTCGAAAACGAAATTTTCAAGACCTCGGCGTGGCGTGCGTGGTAATTACACATCATGCATGCCTAGCATCGGCATGGCGGGGGAATTTTACCACATGTAGGAAATGCTACGCCTTTACACGCACTTGCATCTCCACGACCTCTCTCCGAAAACAAATAATATCTCTACATGCGTGATTTAGCCCGGGGATAATTGGATGAACTCATACTTTCCCGAGGTTTCCTGAACAGCTCAGACGCGATCAGCATGTGGCCTTCACCGACGGCTTGTTTTACTCTTACCCTTGAAACTTCACGAAACTATTAGCTTGGTGATACAAGGCGACACGAACTGCCATCACAAGGACAACACTCTCTACGGTCACCGCCGATGCGCACAAAACTCATAAAAACGAATATGGTTGTCTAAACGCACAGAGGGTCACATGATACGTGCACCCCACACATTGCGCTCCCCCCATTTCGCACCAGTCACCGTCCATCACCCACACACCACACAAAAAGCGCCTGGAAATACAAAGACATCAGTAAGCATCGGAATATACGTGACACGCACACAAGCTCTGCACGCCTCGCTTGCACACTACACACCCACAACTGTAACATAGGCGAAACACTCCCACATTCCACACACAAAGAAAAAAACGCCGAGATCCGCCACTTCCTCCTGTCGCTGCTGGATTCCTGGCCCTCATCACCCCCGTTGCCCCAACACGACTCTAGCGTAGAACCACAGCAGAGCCGTCTATCCACTCTGTCGATGATGCGCATCACCTCGACGCACTCGGCTGTATTGCAACCCCGGCTCCTTGGTGGGACAGCTCTTGTTTTCGCTGCAGCAGCCACTGCTGCTGCTGCTGCTGCTGCTGCTGCTGCTGCTGCTGCCGCGAGGGCCAGTTGTTGTACAACACGCAGAGGGCGGAGGCGCAACCGGCCGCCCCGACAATACCATCGTTAAGCTTACGCCCGAGGAGTCGCTTGGGGAGGTCCATGCCGGTCACGTTGACGGCGCATGTCAGGTCCAGGGCTCCCTGCCAAAGCAAAATAGGATTCATGCATACTGGTCGATTAGATATTGTGCGGTGTGGGGATGGTCGTACAAATCGTAAGGAGCATGGAACTATGTTGAGTGGTACTTCCGGCCAAGGCCTGCAAACCGACGGCTTGCTGAGGCGATTGCTTACACACTGTAGACAGCCGAAAAACTTCGTTCTCGAGGAACCACTCGAAACATGAACGGTGGAATCCGGTGATGCACCCCGACAAACACAAAGTCTCCCCAAATGGAACCCCAAAGTCGGAGATTCTTCGTAAGACAGGTGTTGGGTATTGTAATTCGACGTACAAAACCGGCTCGTGATTGCGTTGTTGTTCCTCCGGCTCGTGCCCTAGGGTCGGTCGCGGCTACCCGGTTGTCTCCACACCAGTAGCAACATGCGGCGGAATTAGCAAAGCATCAAGAAAAAACTCGGGCCGTCATCTCCTCACCTTGAGCACCATTAGCCATGACTTGAAGTGGTCCGCGTTTGCTTGTCTAAGGGCCTCTCGCAGCCCCGCCACATCTCCCTTTCCATCTCCATCTCCGTCACGCTGCCGCTGCCGCTCCACCACACCGCAGCTTCCACCCCTACCGTTGCCGTTGCCGTTACAGTGACCATATCGGGTACCGTTGCCGTTACCGTTGCCGTTACAGTGACCATTTCGGTGGGGCGGTGCTATTCGTTCGCTCACCGCGTCGGCATACGCTGACAGCGCTTCTCGCCGCTTTCTCTTGGTCTGAAAAAGCGGAGAGGGCAGGAGGGGAGGGGGGGGGAGTCTCACTTGTTTCTCGCCCAGTTAGTTGACCATTGACCACACCCGCTTCCTTGAAGATGCACCGTTCCTACGCCAAATGCGGGGGGGTAGACGAGTGGTGGATGAATTTCACACACCTCAGTGGCACCTGCAGCTGTTCTCGAGGACCAAAACAGGTGGTCCGGAGACGTTCGAAGACTGCCAAAAATGTTGAAAACGAAAACGGCAGGGCAATCGGATCCGAGGGAAGCAATCCCTCCGCTCTTCTCCCTCCCAAGGGCGCCAGCACAAAGAAAATACTTATCTTCTTTTTCGACCCCTGCCGGGTGCACAATACGCTCGATACTGACGCACCTTTCTTAGAGAGTCGATGCCGAGCATGATGGCTAGGGCACTCGACACGGACCATGATCGGGAGAATCCCCTCGTTGCTCTCGCCACGCCGAAGTTAACCTGTGAAGTTAACGGACGGCGAGGCGGGCCGTCAAAGACGCTTCGATCGACTTGAGCTGCGAACAGAGCAGTCGGAATGGCTGTAGCAAGCTTCCCTTGTCTCGCTCGCTGTTTTATTACTGTGTCTCTGTCTCTGTTTCTGTCTCTGTCTCTCTCCCTGTCTCTGACCCTTTCTCTGCCACCTTACGACGGATAGGCTACCGAAAGAAGAAAATATGTGCTTCACCTGTCTCCCTCGTCGTCGCACGACAGCGACAATGCAAATTCACAACATCCTAGCCGGGCACAAAAACCGTATGTAACAACAAATCGCGACAAGCGCACCTTCAGTCTCAAATCAACGCGAAGCCGATTCCATACACCACTGCTGCTATTGTTGACTCTCTTATCGGCCGTGCACACACCGTCTCCGTGATGGTGAGGTAGTTGAGGTTGTCGAAGGTCCAGAAGGCGCCCATGGCGAGGCACCGGACGAACATCAGGGTCTCGGCATACCCTAGGAAAGCCGTCCGCGAGCTGGCGCCGATTCCACCGGCGGTGCGGAGAATTCGCCGCAGCTTTACCACCTCGTCCAATATCTGGTGTCGATGGTTCGGACGTCGAACGGACGGCGCATGGGTGGGAGGGGACATGTATTGCATGCCTCACACGGGGGCATCTTATTTATTCCCTTGGTTGCAAGAGGATGTAGCCCCCAGTCGCCAGGAAGGCGTTATTGGCAAGTTGTGTTCGTTGGCACCGCTCGGCGTCTGGAGTGGCACATTCGTGCAGTCTGAAGCGGGGGAACATTGCGCAGGCCTACATGTTACCTGGCGCGATCCGCATCAGTTGAGCGCAACAAAGGCAGTTCATTCGATACGCACACGATTCTCTTCCGGTACACACCAACGACGACCGAGTATACACGAACAGCAGTAGGGGTGCGTTGGATAGGACCGGTGCCCGGTATAGTGCCGGTGTTGCGGCTGGCACATACCAGCACTACCGCAAGGTTGCGAGTCGGCGCACAGGGGTGCGAACGATTTTCAAAGCGTGATTTCTCCACAACCGGGAGGTTACCACTGCTGTCGAAATGGGCGGTTTTGGAAATATCTCATGAAGAGGTTTCCTGACAAGTATCGGTTGGCGCTCGCAGTCTGTATGTGTAAATTAGATCTGCGAGAGGTCTGTCTACATAGGGCGTGTGTTAGCCGCTGATACCAAGACTGCTGTGTGCGCTACACGTACACTAGGAGATGCAGCATGTTGTCCGTAACAAAGTCGAGGGTTTGACCAACAGGGGAGAAAGGGGAGAAAGGGGAGAAAGAGATGGGCTACCTACCTTCTTTAGGCGGACGCCCACGTCGTGGCGGTATGTGCGCCAGTGGTATGCATGGCGCCACCTCTATGCTACGACTCGGGAAGCTCTCCGTACGGGTAGTACTGTTAGGGGTGTCAAAGCGGAAATTTCCTATAGGAAAAAATTCGAAGAAGCGTCTTCGGATCTTGCTGATGGAAAATCGACCAACCAATGAAATTGCACGGAACCGTCGGAACCTCCCAAAAAGACCCTCTGACGCACACACGCGAGGGCACGGCTCGCCTGTGTGCTTTGCGCCCTGCTATGGGGCACAGCACAACACCATTGCGCGGTCCCACTCTAGAACACATGCCTCATGACACACCCGAGCAGCAGCCGGGCGGTGAAGCCACGCAGACACCTGCCGCCGCCGCTGCTGCTGCTGAGAAAAACAGCAGCAGCAGCAGCNCCGCGTGTTATCTTCTGCTGACGCGGCAACCATACACTGCCCCGTCCGCTCTTCAAACTTCGTTTTGTTTTGATTCAGCTTTCGAGCAGCGCGCCTCCTGCTGCCGAACGGCGCGGACCTCGATTTTTTTTTGGGAGGGTCTGCTTGTGTTGGCGCTGCAGCCCCACTGGAGGGACAGTTTTCAGACATGTAGATCTCGTGGTTGGCTGATGCGATTCGGATGCGGTTTGTTGTGTGGTATAGCTGTAAACCCCAGGTAGAGGGCTGTAGGTTCGCTTTCACGAGAGGAGCAAAGGTCGCCTTGGGCGTGGAGCAAATAGCCCAAAAAAACATGTTTTTTGGTGTTGTTCGTCCGCCCTTTTACTTTAAGAGAAAACCTATCCTACAGTCACCTCTATTGGACCTGTGTCCAGGTGTGTGTAACGCATGAAGAGCCATGCTGCTGTCTGGACGCAGACCTGCCTGCACAAACAAATTGACTTGATGTATAGTTTATTCAGTATTAACAGCGGGATTCTCAAGAACCAAAAAAAGAACCAAATCTGCGTGCCCCCCTCAAATTTTGCCGAATGGACCGGACGTTTTTTTGGCCCCAAATTCCGCCGCTTTGACACCCCTAACTGCTGTAGAGTTGTTTTTCTTGCCTTGAGCATGCGGAAGGCCTTGCGCGATCGCTGGGTGGTCCTGTAGAGCTTGAAGACGCGCTGGGACAAGTCCGGATCCCTCGCCGACAACCACCACGCCAAGAAACGGGCCCCGTACTGCATCAACTGCGAATGACAAAAAACAAACAAGGGTTTGGTCATGGATTACTCTGAATGCCGTGTGCTACAGAAGTTTGTCCTATTTGACTCTTGCCCGTGGATAGAGATGAACTCGTTGTGCTTTCGTAAGAAAAAACCAAAGGCGTCCATTCAGCCGAGCTGCTACTGTCATTTGTAGAGGTAGGTGTCATCCAGAAACAGACGACAAGCCCGTGATGCGATGACTTATACTCTACATTACAAACTTCCGGTCGGACCTTCAGTGTAGATGCACATACAATCACAGCGAAGTCTGCCCGTTTGAGATTGTACACCCCGATCGGAGGGATGCGTTCAAGTCTTTCCATGCAGTGAGTGGGCTATCATAAGACATTTTGTATGCGTGTCTCAAGACAAAAATGCTCATTTAAAAGTAGTAACAACAGCAGTGGAGACTGCCCGCGATGCCCCAATTTACCAGAAATTGTCTCTTGGTTGAACCTCGTACAACCGCAGCACACACTCCACAGTACATACACACCAACAGACTGATAAAGCCCTGTGCGCGTACGGTTGAATTGCCAACAGGATCCACTTCATGGCAGCGTGCATGGCTAGAGAATCGTCGCTGGGCACTCATTGCAGTGTGGTGCTCACTGGAGGCTGCGCGTCTTGACTGACTGAGTGTCCGGCCGAACTCACCTTGGTGAACTTATCCCGGCCATCAAGCTTACGGAGAGTCGCCACAAAGCTCTCCAAGCTCACGGGCTCCTTCACCGCCAACGCGTCGTCGATCTGGATCATAGTCGGTGGCCCCGGCACCACCACCTTCGTGCAGTCACAGCAGTCGTTGTCCCAGGGAGCAAACGACCAAGGCGTTCAGATGTTGAGATGAGGCAATAAGGTAAGCGGCGGAAATATATCGCACCCGACAGCGCCAACGCCTCGTCTCATTTGTCACCCGGTACGCCCCAACCATCCCCTCCCCCCCACGCTCGAAAATGCTTGAAATTGCGAAACATATCGGCCATCTTCCCATACTCGACACGATGCGATTGGAACCGCTGTGCTGTGAGTTCGAGCTGAAGAGCTGTGGTGTTGTTGTAGAGCCCTTTGTCCCCTTGCATGTCGAAGCATGCGTCAGTGCATGAGGTAGCTGTACATGTGCGTAGCTCACATCGGCAACAGGACATGCGTCAACCTACATGCTGTATCAGCATGACTACAGACAGTCCCGTGTCAACCCTCCCACTTTCCCTCCCCTCCTTGTCGCGTGCCTCGAACCTGGCCATGGCCCTGGGCCGAATCTCAGATTTGTCTGCCCTAGCGGTGCTGCTCCTGCACCAGAGCTCCGCGTTCGCCCCCCACAGCCTCTCCCGAACAGCTCGAAGTCCCCCCTTAGGCGCATGCCCCCGTCAACAGCAGCACTTATGTAGCCGGCGGCAAGGGGCCACGGCGCCGGCGCCCGCAGGCCTTTTCGACCGGGGGGGTGCCTCGAGAGCGCTAGGGGGCGTGGCAGGGTCGATGCGCAGGAGATGGCAGCACGAAGGGTCTTTGAAGCTGCACATGCTTGACCCGGGTACGGCGGTGGGGGCGCTATCCACCGCTGTGGCGGCCGGCGGCGGGGGGGCCGATGGCGCTGTCTCCGCTTGGTCGGTCACGTCCATCACCAGCGACTTTGCCGCGGAGCTGTTCCAGGCGTCGCTGTTACCGTACCTGGCGTTCCTATGGCTCTTAAGCAGGAAGGAGACCAAGACGCCCGAAGGGGGCACGTTTGGATTCGCCTTCCTCCTCGTCTTTGTCGTCGCCACCATTCCGGCCGGAATCTACGGTAAGCAATGCGCGCTTTCGCTTTTTGTGTTCGTCCCGCCACACTCTGCCGCGCGATACACACCGAAATGTTTGTGGTGTATGGTTGACGTGTCATGCGGTGCGCGTAAATTTGTCGTGGACTTCTTGGGGCATCGGTAGTGAAAGCAGCAGCCTCCATGTAATGAGGGAAAAAAGAAAGGGGCCAGCCGGGGGAAAGTAGCCACCTCTGGGCCTGTTACCGCTCCATAGCAGAGAACGGAGCTTTTTGGCGACGGCAGAACACGGTTTGTAGCACTTTGTACGTGTTGCTTCGAATTTTGCGGTCATGCCAGGCATGCGTGTTGGAAAACGAGATGGTCTGTGAGCCACCGTCTCCTTGCGGCCGGGAAAAATTCTGGAGAGCAGAAGTAGTCCCGCGATGCACGTGTGAACGGCCGATCCGGTTCAGAAACCGTTTCGACCCCCGCCATTCCATCTTCGAAACGGTACAGCAAGAGATGAAATATCCAGCGGCGAGCGTTGGGAGTTGGAAGAGTCATGCACCCGGACGGGGCCGGCACGCTGTTCATGCGGCGGCGTATCTCGTCGTTTCCCCGTGTTACCGACCTCTGCTTCCACATCACTCCTCCTCCTCGTCCCTACATCTCACCCTCCGAAATCGGGCCGCCATGCTGCTGCTGCTGCTGCTGCTGCTGCTGCTGCTGTTGCTGTTTAACGACCTCTGGTTCGACGCCCATCGTCTTCCTCCTCGTCGCCGCGTCGTCTTACCCTGCAAAACTTGGCTGCCATGCTGCTGCTGCTGCTGATGCTGCTGCTGATGCTGCTGCGCGTGGCTTCATCGGACCTTAGCCAAGACGGAGTACAACGAGATCCTGGCCAACGTGGACTACCTTCACGGCATTGCGGAGTCGTTCCTAACCCTCACCAACCTTTTCATCGTTTCGGCCTTCCGTAAGGCGGTCGTCGGCAAACAGCCGGCCGCGGGCGGTGAGTGAGCGGCAGCAGCAGGTGCAGCAGGACCAGCAACATGGTTTTGAACGTCTACTAAGTGCGAGAGCAACAATATCAGCTGCAAGTACGCATTGTCAACAAGGGTAGCAGCACCAGCAACAGCATCGGAGGTATTAACACGTACTACACGCGGCGTTGTAGTGCGAGAACAATGACCGCTGCAAATTTGAACCGCCGGCAAAGGTAGGAGCGTCGGCAACAAACATCGGGGGATATCGACACAAGTAGATGGCAGCACCGAGAGCAGGAGGTGGTTGTTTGTTACATCGTAGAGGCCCAGTTTGAGGATTCACGCGCGCCCAGTGTTCGCTGGCCTAACATCGACAATAGTAGAGTTCAAGCCTCCTGCATGCTGCGGTGTCTGGCCTCGCACTTGATGTTGCGCGGCAGTTCGGATGCAAGCTTTTCATTTCCATCGAACGCTCGCGCATGGTTCATTTGGTTGTCGGTGGTGTCGGAGGCGTAGTAGGAGGTTTGGCCGAATGGCTTCGTGTGTAGGGTACACCATGACGACAGTTGCGGCCCCCCCCCGACATGCCGACTACATAGGACACGATGCACGACGTAAAGCTTTTTACGGTTTAAGACGTTGAAGAGAGTGCCCTACAATAGATGTTGGGTATGCCTTTTCAAGGAGAAGAAGTGTTTTTTCTCTCCAGCAAGATGGACGACGCGTGATCAATTAAAGACCCGAGTCACCTACGGAAAGCAAACAGTTATCGTATCTCCCCTCCACCCCCTGCAGGAACAATGCTCCGTCCTCTCGAGGACGCTTGGTCAATGGTCTAACCACGGCATGCAAAACCGTTTTCGTACCCCCCCCCCC